GTGACAGCTGGGTCATACTGCCCACCAATGGTGCCAACTCCCCCCTCAGGTCTATTCCCAACTTACCGCAACCCCATACCAACGTTGCGACGTCCCTAGAGGACCCCTTAGGACCATCAAGGGCATTGGATATGAGCCGTGTAAGGTTAGCCCGGTCCAGTGTCGTACACCCCTCCTCACTAGACCGACTGATGAGAGTGGAGACTTCATGTGCTGCCATACGTGTAGGGGTCGAGGGCTTCCTCCATGAAATTGCAATAGTAGGTACCGGTACTTTTACCTACCCCAACAGTCAACGGCGAGCTTCCTTGGATGCCCTTACCTACACCTAGCCTATTCAAAGCCTCTTTACTCTCTGACAGCTCCAACTGCGAGAAACCTCTACCTCCATTCTCTACAAAGGCCCTCTTCAAAGCTAACTGGAACTTCTCATCCTCCTGAGTCCAGTAAGAGTACAAAAAGTACCGCCACCAATAGGTAGTATTACCGTCCATGTCCCCGGTCCAAGGCTACGGGCCAGACCAGTGATCATAGCGTGGACCAAGGCCCCCCTTACTGGACCCTTGGGTGGTACTGCTATCTCAACTGCCCGCTTATAACTACCTCTAACACATAGCTCTTGTATCCGTTGCAGCTTACTAGTTGACAGAGACATGTAAATTATTGCATATTACTATACCCCATAATAGTAATACTGATGATAACACAACGCCGACAAAACACTATGTAGGGGCAGCATTAGGTAGTACACATGGGTCATGCTTTAGACCTCCATCTCACAGCAGCTAATACACCTGAAACATACTCAGCAGACACTACACTGAAGATGACTATATACGTAGATGTAGAACGTCAAAGTATTACCTCTGAACTTGGTAACCACATCATTGCATGTGTACTTGACCTAAGGATAGGTTACGTATCACACCATGCCTGTAAGATCTGGGTCCAACAGTGCTATGGTAGTCCCGTCAAGGAGGAATCATGTGGAGTATGATAAGGATGGGGTCGAGCACCTCAGATATCATAGAAGACCAACAGCAACCCAATGCAACCTCATCCTACCCCAACACTTTAACGTGGCAGTAATTCGAACTAAGGATACCACTTTTGAAAGTGGGTCTGTAACTTAGGAACTGCTCCTTAAGGCGCACCTTTAAAATAGGAAGGAAACCCATAAACTCGGTTGAGGAAACCCGACATATATATTCCCATACTTCATTCCCATTTTTGAGTTTCCAAATCGGTTTATTGAACAACTCCAGAGATCTTCATTCTTTACATGCACCATTGTTGAGATTCTGTGTTGCGTTCTAGAAACTTGCGTTGCACAAGTAAGATATTTCTCATTGCGCACACGGGGGATTCATGCCGAAATTGGGCTCATTTACAAAATAGCAAAGGAGCAAATAGCAAAAAAGTGCTAATTAGCTGGAATGTATATTTTCTGCGGCTTTTGCTGTTGTGCTAGTGTGTAAAAACGCTATGGCTGATATACAGAAGAGCAAAGTAGCAAAATTCACTTTACAAATACGCAAATTTGCCGTTTTGTA